AATTTGTATACGGGGTAAAAGGGGGAGTTCATAATCCACGTGAATCAAACCGTGTAATATGATGTATTAAGAACTATGTAATGTTATGAACGACCAATAAAAAAAAAAAAAAAAAAAACTCTACTAATGTTTCTTAAAGTGTGGACCCTGCAGATGACCTCATATGTTTGTCCAAAACACAGATTTTTCCATTTCAGGCCAATAAAACTGAATTTGAATCTGGGAGTTGGAACATGCATTTTAATAAGCTCCTGAGGAAAAGCTTATATACATGCACATTAAAACTGAGATTTTAATTACAATTAAAATTCCCCTCTCTGCTTCAAGAAAATAATCATCAGTGGAGGATGGGAGCTCAGCATTCAAAAGCAGATGGGATCTGCGTGCTGCGATGTTTCTCCCCCAATACCGACAGGCTCAACAGCAATGGGAAAGAGGTTGAGAGGGGGTAAAAAGGGAGTAAGTCCTAGAAAGCTGGGGGCGGGTTGTGAGCCTTCTTCTAAACCCTTATTATGGTCCTGAGCAATTACAATTATGGGGCGCCAAGGAAGTCGCTGTCCCAGGGTCACAGTCTCTGTCCTCTCCGGAGCATAAGTGCAACAGAGGGTGGCGTTTGGCTACCTGTGCGGCTGGGGAAACTGAGGCCTGGAGAGGTGGAGGGCTTCTGTACTTAGTCCGCAGCTGGTCTGGCAGGATGGAATCTAGGTCTCTGCTTCCACCTGTCTTGCCACAAGAAAGCCAGCGGTGGGGGGCGTGGCTCTCTTAAACCCACTTTCCACAAAGCTCTGCCAGAAACGCAACCTCCCCACTGGGGCCTTAACTCTGTCCCTCACCACGCATCCATGGAACAACTGGAGCGCGCTCCTTCCCCTCCGGCCACAGTTTCCCCACCCGCGCCGCGCCGGGTGCGTGTGTCTGTGAACACAACGGTGTGAAGCTCAGTAGCGGGATTCCCCATGGGAAAGTCGCCCAGTCCCTCCCCGGGGATGCTAGAGACCCTGAATCGAAACAGGAGGCAGGACGCCCCCGGCCGGGAAGCGGCCCCAGCCCGGATTTCCCTCCCGGGTGGGGCAGCAATGACTCACCCCCTCCCCCTTCCCTCGGTTTCCTTGTTTGCATTTCTCCTCCCGGCCACGTGGCGATCGGTGCAGCCACTCACCGCCCCAACCTCGACACCCCGGCCTCTGCTGCCCCTGCACACACCCTAGAGCCTTCCTACCCACTAGGGTTTCTCCGGGCTCCAGATGGTGCCCACTGTACTTACCCCTGGGTGCCGACTCCACCCCGCCCCCGCCAGTGCCCGCCCCCTTCCCCTACGCCCTCCCTTACGGTCAGGCCCAGTGGCTGCTCCCCACCCCTTCGGCCAGTCCAGGGAGTGGAAGGGGGCGGGCGCGCAGGGGGTGTGACAGCTCCCTGCCGGACCAGCGCCAGCGGCAGCCTCGCTTCAGTGCCCTGTGCCAGCTGGCTCTTTCGTCTGGGACGAAGGCGGAGGCTCGGGGCTCCTAGTCGCTGGGCCCGGGTGTGTGTGTGGGTTCTCCCCCCACACCCTCTACCCTCAACTCACCCAAGACAAGCCTCTGCACCCAGTCCTGCATTTTGCTGTCCTCGGAGCCGGTTCCGGTCGGAACTAGCCCTGTTCACTGCCCCTGGGACTTACGCCGGCACCCGGCACCCGTCCAGGGTACCCCTGTGGAACTGACGGGGGGGGGGGGCTGGCTCGCGATCCCCCAATCTCGGCTAGAGGCTGCAAGGCTGTGTGAGCTTGAGAAGGAACATGAAGGTGGGTGAGGTGGGGTCAGGGTCAGGGAGGAGGAGCAGGAGTGGGCGGGAGAGGAAGCCAACACCGTGGGGAGTTTAAGGGGGGGAGAGTTTTGGTGGGGGAGGGAAATGGGGAGGAGGATCTGAGCCGAAGCTGCATTTCTGGGGGATCCATGAGCCTATAGCCTCGGGCTGGAAGGAGTGGAGAATCCTGCAGGGGCAGGAGCAGTGAGGTGGGGCAGAATTCCAGAGGGCCTGGTCTTCTCAGTAAGCCAGCTGGAGACCCCTAAGTGCGCCAGACCAGCAGGCTCCGGTGAAGGTCTTCCTGTCCCTCCCCCTGCTCCTGGCAGGGTAGCAGCACCTCCGCCTGACCAGTCCAGAGGACTCTAAGGAAGTGTTTCTTCTGCCTGGGGCAGTTGTGTGGCTATCCAGCTGCCCTAGCCACTGCCTATGGCTGTCCACCTTCCTCCCGCGCTCACAGGTGGGCTTGCCAGGTGAGAGCCGCTGGCAGGTGGGCCCAGCTGTGGAGGATAACCTGGCTCTGGGAGCACCGCAAGTCGGGGGCCTCCCTGACTTGGTGCCAGAGGGGACACTGCTCAACATGGTGCTGAAGAGGATGCATCGACCCAGAAGCTGCTCCTACCAGCTGCTGCTTGAGCACCGGCGCCCCAGCCGCATCCAGGGGCTTCGATGGGTGAGTGTCCTCTGCCTGTCCAGGTCACCAGGACTGGAGGGAGTCTGTACTGTCATGTCAGGTGCTGCTGGTGGTCCAGCTCTGCTCTGGGGGTGCGGTGTGGTGCGGTTGGTGTGAATGGAGAGTGGAGAAGTGTGGCTGCAGTGTGTGTGGGTGGCTCACACAGCGGCACCCTGTGTATCTGTGTGCCTGTGGTGCTCAAGTACCCCCACCGGGGCACAGGGAAAGAGAAAAAAAGCTTGTAACATATCTGTCACCTGTGTGTGCCAAGCATTGAGTAGGTGCTTGTGTGTTCTCTCCAGGTGGGGGTGGGAAATATGGGGGCCGGCTCAAGTGGGAAGTGAAGTAAGCTTGGTTACTGCTCTTGACATGTCACCGTGGCAACATTCTCCTTTAGTGAGCAATTGAACTGGGCTGATTCAGCTTTTTGATCTTGGGATCATGTGGACAATGCCAGGCATCTGACTTTGGGGGCACTCAGGAGGATTCTAAGAAATATGGATAATCAAGGATCCTGAAGTTCTTTTTGCCAGTGGGAAAAAAGTCTCTTGAGCTAAAAGAATGAAAGAGGGATCAGGAGCAGGGAAATGGGGTGCTAGGGAGAAAAGGGGGCTGGATAATGACTGTAGAGTCTGTTCAGTTGGAAGCTTTCTCCAATCACCCAGGCTTAATAGCGTCCCTTCACCTGAGAGTCAGTTGTGTGACCACTGCATGTTCCCACTTGTATGTATGGCAGGGAGGATGGTACCAGGTAAAGGGGACTAGGGGAGGCAGGAGTGGGTGACAAACCCCAGAGAGCTCATCTCTTATCAGCAAGGCTCTTCATGTAGAACCACCACCATCTTCTCCCTCCTCCTACCTTGTCTAAGTGCCCTTTCTATTTACCAAAACATGAGGCTGAGTTGAGAAAAGCAAGGCCTTTCAAGATGAGGGGGTCCTCTTTGCAATCAGAATCGAGAGAGTGTCCATCCCAGTTCTCCCTCAGCTCCTCTGTCCCTGAACTTCCTGATAGGTGCCTCTGGGGCCATCGGTCATGCTCCCCTACCCCTTGGCTCTCTGTCACAGCAGTAGCTACTGCTTGGAGCCAGTGGGCTGGAACCCTCCCTCCCTCCTGCCCTCTCAGGCTATAATTACTTGTGTATTTCCTGTCCCCTTCCCAGCTTGTAGAGGCAAGGTAGGGGATGGGAGGGGGAAGGTCAGGTACCAGGACAATGAGGTCACTGGAGGATCTCCTGGGATCCAAAGTCTGGGAGGGAGCAGAGGAGGCCGCCACACTGTCTCCTGAGGCCCCAGAATTGAAGGGCTGGCCTGCTGGGGAAGCCGGAAGGGTGGGGGTGAGGGTTGCTGGAGTGTAAATGGGGTCAAAGGCACAGAATCAAGGCCTCTCCCATGCCAGGTGGGTGTGGGGGGTAGTGGGAGTTGGTAGCTGGAGGGAGCTTAAATTGTTAGAGGCCCACCCTCTCCTGATGCCCATCCCTAGGGAAGGGGATGGGGTGGTTTCAGTCCATTGTGCCCAGGTTGAAGGGGCTCTGGGTGCCTGTAAAGCTGCACCTCTCAATGATGCCTTTGGCTCATGGAGGGCTCCCATGAGGGGACAAGTACCCACAGGGAGTGTGCACACACTGGTTGAAGGAGGTTAAGACTACAGCTTCAGGACAAGGCTGGGAATTATTTGGAACACGCCTACCTCTCACAAAGCCCAGGGGAAAACCCATCAACCTCTCAAAGAAGAGGTCTGAAGATAGCTGTTTCTGTCTCTAAACCAGGACAAGTAGAAATGAAAACAACAAGAGGACTTGAGGTTATATTCAGAAAGAACTTACCAACGATGGCAAAGGTGACACTAGAATGGGATGAAGAACATCTTCTTTGGAAATTATAAGGGAGAAATGAGATCTCATCTGATATCTGGGGGCAGGGCAAGATCAGGGTGACCTCTGGTGGGTTCCATAGGCTCAGGGAAGCCCAGGAGTGCCTGCGTGGGGGGAGGTGGCCCTCTTGTCTAAGACAGAAAACATACTTCATCCAACCTGTGCAAATAATGGTGGTAGCTTATAGTAACATAGTATTTACGTCCTAGGTACTACGAGCCTTACCTTTATTATATCAAATGATGCTCACAACAGCCCTGTGGAATGGGCCCTAATGTCATTGTCCCCATTTTATAGATGTGAAAATGGAGGCCCAGAGAGGTTGAGTGACAGGCGAGGGTGGCATAGCTGCTAAGTGGCAGAGCTGGGCACTGTATTCTGGCAGTCCAACTGTGGATTCCATGCTCATACTGCCCCGAAGTACTTTTCTCCAGTTGCTGAGTCCATCACTGACCTCCATGGCATCCCCGCCCCATGCACTCTTTCCCTGGCCACTATGCACAGCCTGGCCTGGGACCTTAGCCATGGCCCAAGGGAACTGGTTTGACAGGTCCCCATGCTGTCTGGCTCTGTGCCTGTCCCTCCAGCCCTGCTCTGACACTCAGTGACAGGGAGGGAGGGTGGGGTAGGCGACTGTGTTAGTGCCAGGGGACCTAGCACCTCCTCTTCCACCATGAATCCTTCTTGTTCAGGACTGAGAGGAGGAGGAGGGCAGGGACCTTGACCCACACTTCTTTCCAACTGAGAACCACTAAACTGACACTCAGGGTGATCCGATCAGGTGCAGGGCCAGCCATAGTACTGCATTTTTGTTTTTGTTTTTGTTTTTTTGCACCGTGTCCAGGTAATAGGTGCCCATCATGAGATTATTGGTCAGGTTACTGTACTTAACATTTACTAAGCAGTTACTGTGTGCCGGGCACTGCTCTGCATACTGGACATCATTAACTCATTTGATCTCATAATTACCTTAGGGGATGGGTATTGTTATTATCAAATCCATTTTACAGATGAGGAAACTGGAGCACTGAGAGTTTAAATAATCAGCACAAGGTCACACAATCAGATAATAATGCAAGAGCGAGAATTTGAACCCAGATGTCTGGTTCAGGAGCACACACACTTGACACTCACTGCCCTTCCTTGCCCCATCCCTGAGGTTCCGATGCACATGAACATTCCAGGGGCATAGAGGAGCTCATAACAAGGCTGTCTAATTTTGTTTAACACAATGTTTTCCAAACTTACCTACCCATGGAACATTCCTGAGGGCAGAATACTTCTGCTATCTCTGTATCCACACAGCAGGGGAAGCTGGGGGTAGGCGTCACAGGAGACAGTGGGGCGCAGTGCTGAGAACTTTGGAGCCAAGTGTGATTACCAACTGGAGGGCAGGTTATGCAACCTCTGAGCCTCCTTTTCTCTAGCAGTGAAATAGGATACAAATACCTAGGGTCAGCATTGGGAGCAGTCAATCAGTAGAATCTTCTGTTCCTAAGTGCTTGTGTGCCTCTGGTAAGTTACTTCAGCTCTCTGGGCTTCTGCTTTCCTTGGTGAAATGACAGAGAGGCCTTAAGATCCTATCCTGAACCCCTGCATGTGCATAGAGGGGCATTTTCTGACCATTGTGCTCATCCCCTGGGGTAGGACAGGAAAGACCAGCCTGCTCACGTGGCCTGGAGCATGCCCCCCCTGCAATGTGCCCTCCTAGGTCAGAATAATACCAGGAAGGAACCAGTGCTGAAACCTGGGTTGTGGGCACCAAAGGGAGCTGGGGCAGGGACTGGGACGACCTGGGCATTTTGACATGAACAACAAGAAGTCATCAGCACTTAGGCACTGTTTGTTCCGACACAGGGGTCTGGCCGCGTAGCATTCCTGCCCTTCCTCCTTTCCTGGCTCCTCCTCCTCCTCATTTCCTGTCATTAAGTCTCCAGGGCTCTGTGTCTGGCACTGGACTGGGCCCCATGACCCGGGCAGGGATACCCTTGGGACACCTAGTGACTTCCGCCCAGCTTTGGGCCAGGCACCCAAGCATGCCAGACCTCAGGCCTCTGTCTGGGCACAGTGGCAAGATGCCTGCGACAAGGGACCTGCCAGTTTAGGAGAGAGGGCTTAGGTCCTAGCTCCCYGACCAGGTCTTTCCCAGGGCCCAGAGTGCAGGTGGGAAAGCAGGAGAGGTGTTGCTGCTGAGAGGAAGGGGGAGTGGGGAAGAGAAACAGGCTCTGTGGTGGGTGGAGTGAGACCAAGAATGTGAGCACTGTAGGTAGAACTCGGTTTCTCCATAGCTGGCTGGYGGTCCTGAACCTGCATGGCAGTTACACAGGGCGTTTTACCTCAAGACATTTGTTTCCCTGTAAGTCACACAGGACAGATAATATCTGCTATGCCTATTTCACCCCGGATCCTATGTTACCTAGGATCTAATGACATCAAGGAGGTGGATATATTTTGTAAACTGTGAAGTGCTCTGCCTTTGGGAGGGCTCATAGAGGGCAGAGCATCCTGTCCAGAGCTGTTTACAAACTCCCGTTCTCAGGTGACTAGAAAAGAAGGGTTGTGAGGGGCTTTCATGACTGATATCCCAGGGTATCCAGGATCTAGAGTCTGGGGAGCTCAACTGATACCAAGGACAGGGAAACCTTGTTAACCAGTGCGTCTACAATAAGCCCCATCTTTCTGAGCAGTCCTGAGTACTGCCAAGGCTGTACTTGCTTTTACAGGGTTATGGACTCGCAGCATCTTGCAGAAGCCTTCGAGCAAGCAGCCCCACCCTGTGCTTCACAGATGAATAATAATAGCTAACATGTATACACAATTACATACCAGACAATGGCTTCAACATTCAATATGTATTAACTCATGTAATCCTTCCAAAGGCTTATACACTGGTAATATTTGTGCTTTATAGACTTTATACATAAGGAAACTGAGGCAGGGAGAGGGTAAATCACTTGTTCAAGATCACACCACCTGTGAATGGAGGAGTAGGAATTTGAATCCAACAGTTTGGCATGGGGGTTTCTGTTTTTAATGACTATGCTGAACCAAAGCCCACAGAAAGCATAAAACCTGCCCACTATCCTGTGGTTGGGCAAAGAACCAGGGCTTGGGATCAGCCTGCAGCTACAGCTAAAAAATTTGTTCCTAGGTCCCCTGAGCTGCTCCTGTCCCATCCAGTCTCATGTCTTCTTATATCACATCCTTATGCTCTTCCAGCTCTATTGCTCCTTCCTCTATATAGCATCGTTTGTTTTGTTTTGTTTTGTTGAGACAGGGTCTCACTAAGCTGCTAAGGGCCTAGCTAAGTTGCTGAGACTGGTCTTGAACTTGTTTTCTTCTTGTCTCGGCCTCCTGAGCTGCTGGGATTATAGGTGTGCACCACCACACCCAGCTCAGAATGGAGATCTTGGGGTCTCATCAGTAGGATCACAGTGCTTGGGTGTGCAAGAAAGAAAAGGGTCTAGTGATAGGGGTGGCAGTGTGGGAAGAGGTGATTCCTGGTGCACAAGGTGTGCAGCAAATGTTTAATTGTTGCATGAGGGCTAACTGAATGCATCTGGGGCTGGGGACGGGGCAAGGGTGGGAGCTAGGGGAGCAGTGAGGGGCTCCAGAGCTGTTTGAAAGTCTTGCACTGACCCACAGACTCTCCCCACTGCCCTCAGACGCCGCTCACCAACAGCGAGGAGTCCCTGGATTTCAGTGTGAGCCTGGAGCAGGTATGAGTGGGGGAGGGGCAGAACTGGAAGAGGGCCACCAGCTGAGGGGTTCAGGGCCTGAGGCTGTCATGCCCTTCCTCCCTCCAAGGCTTCCACGGAGCGGGTGCTCAGGGCTGGAAAGCACCTGCACCGACATCTCCTGGCCACCTGCCCCACCCTCATCCGTGACCGAAAGTATCATCTCAGGCTCTACCGGTGAGTGGAGGCCCTGCCTGCCTGCGATTTTCTCTCCTTTCCTACTTTATTCCTACCCCTGCTTCTGGGAGAAGCCCTAGGCTTGGGCCTCCAATRGTGCCTGCCTGGATGGAGAGCCCCCGACCTGGCCTTCCATCTGATTTTCTGGTCTCCTTCCACTTCCCACAGGCAGTGCTGTTCTGGTCGGGAGCTGGTGGACTGGGTCTTGGCCCTGGGGCTTGGGGTCCACTCTCGGAGCCAGGCTGTGGGCATCTGCCAGGTGCTGCTGGATGAAGGTGCCCTCTGCCATGGTGAGCTTGAGCCTAGGACAGGGCATCTAGGGCTGGTGAAAGGGGACAGGGCAGACCTGGGGATCAGGCACCAGTGGGGATTACAGAGGAGGCTGGCATCAACGTGTGGACCTCATACCTACATGGCCTCAATTTCTTCTCCTTCCCCATGCTTGGGCCTCGGCTCCCCAGTGAAACACGACTGGACCTTCCAGGACCGAGATGCCCAGTTTTACCGGTTCCCTGGGCCAGAGCCGGAGCCTACAGGAGCTCATGAGATGGAGGAGGAGTTGGTGGAGGCCATGGCGCTGCTCTCCCAGCGGGGGCCCGATGCCCTGCTCACTGTAGCACTTCGAAAGCCGTAAGTCGGGAGCCCTGCACCCCCCAATGCCAGGACCCACACTGCATTCAGACCCCAAAGGCTCTCAGGTTCATCTCTGAGCTCTGACCCACATTCTGCCATGAACTTGCTGTTTGATCTTGAGACACCCCCGCTTACCTTATTTCTTTCTCTCTCGATGCCAGAGGATCTCTGGAGGACCCGTCCCACTCTGAGACGCAGTCATGGCTGAGGGAGGGTGGGCTTTGATATCTGCAGGCAGGTTGGGGTTCAAATTCCAGCTTGGCCAGCTACTAGCTAAGTGGCCTCAGGCCTCTCGATGCCAGCTTCCTCTTCTGTCAAGAGAGGATAACAGTATTCACGTCACAGGGCTGTTATGAGGACAGAATGAAATTACGCGTGTAAGGTGCTTAGCACGGTGTCCGGCACCTGGGGCACACTCCGCCAAGGTTAGCCCGTTATTGATAACGATCATGACGGAGGTGCCATCTGGCCCTGCAAGCAAGCTGCCTGGGTGGGGTGACTTCCCTTCTTGGCCCTGGGCCACAGTTCAGCCTGTGTTCCTGTCACTCCTGTGCCCGCAGCCCAGGTCAGCGCACAGACGAGGAGTTAGAACTTATCTTCGAGGAGCTCCTGCACATCAAGGCCGTGGCCCACCTCTCCAACTCGGTCAGTCCACCTCCCTGAGTCTGTCCCGCTGGGCCAGCCCTTTCCCCAGAATCTCCTCTTCTGTGACTTCCACTGCTTGGCCAGGRGACAGCCTGCTCTCCTCTGTCTGTGGCTTGGTTTTCGGTCTAATTTCTGGTCCCAGCCTTCAGTCTGAATATACTCTCGTCTCTCTTGGTCATTTCTTCTCCGTACTGTATCTCCTACTGTATCCCAGGGATGAGTGGAGGCCTGGCCACATTTGTCACCCAGTACTCACCTCTCCCTGAGCCTGACCCTCCACCTGAGCTTGCCCCCACTGACCCTCTTCTCCCTACTCATAGGTGAAGCGGGAATTAGCAGCAGTTCTGCTCTTTGAACCACATAGCAAGGCAGGCACCGTGTGTAAGTCAGGCTGGGCACAGGGACCTGGACGGGGGCAGGAGCCATGGAGGAGTGGTGGGTGACAGAAGAGGCTGTGTCTGACTTGTGCCTCTGTCAGTGTTCAGCCAGGGGGACAAAGGCACCTCATGGTACATTATCTGGAAGGGGTCTGTCAACGTGGTGACCCATGGCAAGGTGAGTCCTCCCTGCTGACCACCTCAGCATCCTGGTTGTGACTATTCCTAGGTCCCTGTCCTGTGGGCCATGTCTTTGCAAGTCCCAAGGCTGCTGATTCCCCATGTCTCCTTTCTGGGTCTGTCCCAAGGGCTGGGAGTGGGGTGGGCTGTGACTGAGACCTGGCTACAGGGGCTGGTGACCACACTGCATGAGGGAGATGACTTTGGACAGTTGGCTCTGGTAAATGATGCACCCCGGGCGGCCACCATCATCCTGAGAGAAGATAACTGTCACTTTCTACGTGTGGACAAGCAGGATTTCAACCGCATTGTCAAGGTGCCAATATGGGGGGGTGGGGAAAGCAGGGGACAGAGGCCTAGGGTAGGGACCAGAGAGAGCCTACAAGGAGATGCTGGGATATGGGACTGGGAGTGGGGACCTCAGGTATATGTGAGAAGGTGAATGCCCATGGCCTGCTGAGGAGCTCGGCGAGACCTCAGGCTTGATGTGGGAGGCCAGAGGAGTGGTGGGTGCACAGGTGGGAGACWAGGGTGCCAGGGAAGGCTGTGCCATGAGAAGCAGGGCCCACAGAGGAAAGGGGTGGAGGAGGGGGTTCAGGCTGGGGGCTGGGCAGCTGAGGGGCCTTGTGGGAACTTCCTGGGCTTGGGGTCTGGAGGGAGGAGGTGGAGGTGGGGGTCCAGAGAGGAGCTCTGGTTGTGTTATTTCCAGGATGTGGAAGCAAAGACCATGAGGCTGGAAGAACACGGCAAAGTAGTGTTGGTGTTGGAGAGAACCTCTCAGGGCACTGGCCCTTCTCGCCCCCCGACCCCTGGCAGGAACCGGTAACAGAAGCACTGTGGTGCCCTCTCCACACTTCTCCCCTTTCCCTGTGTCATATCCCTGCCCTCCTGCCCCTGGGAGTGGGGAAGTATCAAGGGACTAGGTTGTAGCCCCTGAATCAGCCCCACCCGCATCCCAAGGTGGGACAGGGTTGGTACATTAAGAAGAGTCATATGATTTATTACGGATGTCTGTCCTGGGTGTGGGAATGGAGAGGAGTGGCACAAGAGCACTATAGATGAGCCGTGTCTGCTAGGTACACAGTGATGTCGGGCACCCCAGAGAAGATCCTAGAACTTCTCTTAGAAGCCATGCGGCCGGATTCCAGTGCTCATGACCCAACAGGTAGGGCAGGAGACACCCTGCCTATTCTCTGACTCACGGGGTGGTCAGCGCAGCCTGGGAGAGGGCCAGGCACCTAGCATCTGACCTGACTGGGAGCAGGATCGTTCCACGCAGCCAGTCGGCAGGAAGTCCTCTTCCCCACGCTCTTGGCTTGGGCGGAGAGTGCTGTCTCCGCGGCTGGGCATTGCGGGTACCTTGCCAGTGCTGGAACTTGGGGACGGGAGGCTCCAGCTGTGCGCACACCTGTGATCGGTGGACTTGGCCTCTGAAGCTCCTCGTGTCCCCCTACCTGTCCAACAGAGACATTCCTCAGTGACTTCCTCCTGACCCACAGCGTCTTCATGCCCAGCGCCCAGCTCTGCGCTGCCCTCCTGCACCAATATCCTTCCAGCCCCAGGGTGATGTGTGTCGAGGGTGGGATGGTGCGTGGAGCTGAGGGATGAGCTCCCCATCAGCTTGGCTGCGGTGAACCCCCAGCACCAGCCTCACGCCAGGCCCAGCTTGTGGGTGGACCCTGGGCATCCTGCCGCTCCTTTGCCTCAGGTGTGGTGGGTGGTCCTGCCTGCCAGTTCTGGTTCCCTTGACCGGTGCCCACCTTCCACGTGGAGCCCGCAGAGCCTGCGGGAGGCAGCGAGCAGGAGCGCAGCACTTACATCTGCAATAAGAGGCAGCAGATTCTGCGTCTAGTCAGCCAGTGGGTGGCCCTCTAYGGCCCCATGCTCCACACAGACCCTGTGGCCACCAGCTTCTTCCAGGTACCTGGGCGTGAGGCAAGGACTAGCCAAGCTGCTCAGGGTTGGCGCAGCTACAGCCATCTTAGGGAATCTTGATTCTTTACAGAAACTCTCAGACCTGGTGAGCAGGGACGCCCGACTTAGCAACCTGCTGAGGGAGCAGTGGCCAGAGAGGCGGCGACACCACAGGTGCCCTTTGACTTAATTTACTTTGTCCTGTTCATACCTGGCATTGCAATGGGAACTGGGAGTGAACACTCTGGGCGAGCACCTGGATTTTGAAGTCCAGGCAGCACCACTAACTTCAATTACTTGTTCTTTTTTTTTTTTTTTTTTTTTTTTTTTTTAATACTGGAGATCGAACCTAGTGGCCACATCCCCAACCCTTTTTCATTTTTATTTATTTATTTATTTGGTATCAGGGATTGAACTCAGGGGCACTCAACCACTGAGCCACATCCCCAGCCCTATTTTGTATTTTATTTTGAGACAGGGTCTCACTGAGTTGCTAAGTGCTTCTCCATGGCTGAGGCTAGGCTGGCTTTGAACTTGCCATCCTCCTGTCTCAGCCTCCTGAGCTGCTAGGATTACAGGCCACTGCGCCCAGCTTCAATTAGTTGTTCTTGTCAGTCACTCTGCTGTTCAGCAGCTCACCATCCGTTCTCAAGCGACATGCAATTCTTCATTTGCTCCTTCTGCCCAGCGTGCACCTGTAGTTCTCACTTCCTCTGTTCGGTACACATTTATTACCCCTCAGTGCCCGGCCTCACCAGCCCCGCCTGGTAAATTTCCCAGATGTTCCCATGGATGGCTAGGGTTGGTGGGTGGGTGAGAGCTCACTTGAAACAGGGCTCCATCTGGAGCCCTGGGCCTGAGTCTCCCTCTAGTTTTCCTCCTCCTTTCCCGGCTGGACTGAAAAAGTCACAGAATCCAGGGTTCCGATTTTAAGCCCTTTTTTTAAGACTTCCTGTTGCTACTTTCTTTCTTTTTTTTTTTATTGGTTGTTCAAAACATTACAAAGCTCTTGACATATCATATTTCATACAT